GGGAAGGTCTGGGAGATTTAAAAAAAAAACCAACCTGTCTCAGAATTCTAAGTGCGGAATTCAACGTCCAAGACAGATGAACAAAGAAAGCAACCGTGGAACTAGTAACAGCCCCAGGGAAAACCGGAACTGAGGGGGAAGAGTGTTACAAAGTGCTCATCAAATTTACGTGCAAATAGTAATGCTAACATTGTATGTGATTAACTCCTCCCTTGACAGAATCCTATCTCAGTGAAAATGTGTAGATATGAAGTTATGTTTCTGTCACCTGACACTGAGGGGACAGACAGGTTCTTTTAGGGATCACTGGCAGAATTATGATGGTACCAAGTTTTAGTTAGAATTCAAGCTTTTTTTCTTAATGAGATATTATGATAGCACAAAACTTATTATTCGAATTGCACAGGATTTCTACATGCAGAATCATAGTACAATTTATAAGTAGCATAATACAGAATTTATAATACAACTCAATTTATAATTTCTAATCCCCTAGATACTAACTTAATTTATGGTTTGTAATCACCTCAACCCTCTGCACATTGGGTTGGATCTTAATACATGATTTGCTCTATCAAGATAACAATCATAATCTAGACTCGAGAATCACATTAAAGATTTATGAGTCACTCCTCAGTCCCTGGAGGAAGCAGAGGATTGTGGAGGTGTCTCTGCCCCCCCAGGGGTCCCGATCGCACTGTCGAGCACCAGTTCTGGTCCAAGTTTCACCTTAGGACTTGTAACTGCTTGGTTTTACAGAGTGCTCTGTCACGCTCCCCTGTTCTGTGGTGAGGCCATCAACAACACCGGGCTGGCTGGGTGCCTGGGACCGGCAAGGAACGGAGTAATCAGCCTGGTGCCCAGGGGAAGAAGAAATCTGTTTGGATTGTGTACTTGGTGCACAGGACCTCCAGGCCCAATAATGAGGGGAAAGAGAACGAATACGTCATCTGCTGGGTCCCAGAGAATGGCTGCTTGTGAAATGGTGCTAGTTATTCTGACCACATTACCAGGGGTTGGGAGCAGGGGGTTCCGGTCACAGTTCCTTTAACAATGGCTTTACAGACAGCATCTTAACTTCTTTTAATCAATTATTAAAAATCTATTTATGGTTATTCCTCACTGTCTTCATTCGTTCAGTTTCTAGCTCAGCTATTGCCTGACTGTGAGAAAGCAGAATTTCTTTGCACAATTTCAAAGTGGATGTGTAAAATTTAGTTTTCTTCTTGGCAGAATTGTTTCACACATATGTTATTATTTCCCTCTAGGAACAGAGCTCCTTGCTTCTTTAGCTTTCTTTTATCTTCCTGCCAGGCAGATAAAGCCTTTCTGTCTTGCACTGCAAGGTTTCTAAGCTGTTGCAGCCAGCATAGCTGTAACTGACTGCTAATTCTGACAAATGTCATACCCACTGCATTGCAGACTGGAGTTCATTTGTTGTGTACTCCCTCTGTTAAATAGACAGAATACCCTGAAAAGTCAGACACGAATGTGTGAGACAAAGACTTTGTGCAGCTCTGAAGTGTTTGGCTGTTACTACTACATGACATTGTGCTAGGCAATCTGTTTTGTGAGGCAGAGTTCATGACATCTGTGATTACATGCTGCACATTGAGTTCGGCAAAAATAACTTAAATCGTGAGAAGCAGCTTGTTCTCTAGCACTCTGAAACAGTATGCTGTCATTCCAGTTCAAATGTAAAATATTTTATTAACATTCCTGTAAGGAATTACAGTGGCAAGAGCTTTTGGTAAAAGGTTTGGGGAGAATCAACTTGGAGTTAAGATTTCGATTGCAGAATTTTCAAACTCCTCTAGTCTTGTGGCATGCCAGGGCAAGGAAACACTGCTGCCTTCAGACCTGTAGGTGTGGTTCAAAAGTAACTCCTGGTGTCTTCTCCCTGCTCTCAGAAGCTACAGAAATCATTCACGAAAGCAAAACCAGCAGGCTGACATTTCAAAACGCTTATCAATGCTGAATTAGGGGCTTTAACATTTTTACCACTATAAACAAAGAAAACTGGGTACTGAGTATTTACACCAAGAGAAAAAATAATTCATTGTTGTGCCTCAGAGAAATACAAAGTAGGTGAAACATGCTCTTAATATTGCATAATCTGCAGTTGTCTGTGCTTTCTTGACAGTGTTTTTTCCCAGTGAGTAAGCTTATCCTTTGCGTAAATTTTTTTTGCCTCCTAGTTTGCTAGCTCTAAGTTGTCCTCAGGGTGTTTGAATCATAGCTTATGAAATACTGCTGCCTGTTCCCTGCAGGGCCCTCAAAAGAGCCACAGAAAACTCCACTTCCACGTTCACTGCCTTAGCAGTGTAATGTTATGCTATAGAAAGGCCTCTTAATGCAGGAAACAGCTTCTGAAAGATGACCATTTTCATCTTTGTACTCGCATTCATGGGATGTGTGGTGATTACCATCTGACAATTGCTTGAAATTCTACAGCAAAGAGATGGAAGAAATTTTACATTTTGCTGTCTTAATCTACATTCCTCTATTTTTCTATTTTCCCATTTAATAAAAAAATGCATTTTCTAAAATACATTTCCAGGAAATAGTTGAGTCAGTTTATTAACTCAATGCTGACTGAAGTTCATGACAAAATGCAAAGCAGATATTGAATGTTCATCATTTATAACAAGTACTTTCCTTTAACACAAATGATATAGAAAAAGGAAATTCTGTTCCTTATGTGTACTTATAGAGCATGTCTACACATAAGACATCTTAAAAATTAATCAGAAATGGCTCAGGTTAAGGTACTTCAAGAAAACACAGTTTGCATTTTATTTGCATTGGTTTTCCAACAAACAGGGAAGTTCAACATTTGTTTGTACAAAGCCATTAAATCTCAGTATTTCTAGTATGCAACTTTACAGTAATTGCCACTTCCTATTATTCTATTTTAAAATTACTTACAATAAGACATTTTTCTAGATTTTGATAGTGAAACAATGTCCCTCTCGTGTTTCCAAGGCATGACAGATTTACTGTTTCTTTAATCTGATTTAATCATGCATGATTTAGTGAAACTAAGTGTAAACCCTCCATGAAAAAATACAAGTGTCTAAGCCTGGGAGACAGTAACACTTAAATGCAGCAAGGATTTCACCAACACTTGCAGTATCAGTTACATTTTCTTGCTTCACCTCCCTTAATGTTCATTCCATTTCAGTTTCATGAAAGAAATGCATCTCCCTACTAGCTCTCACACAAACCACCTTTCAGAGGTTAATTCTGACCAATTTACACCTTTTATACACTGCAGATGTTTCTGTACAGAATCAGAGAGAAATTTGCATGCAAATTCAGGTTTAATCCATGTAGGTTTGGATTTTTCCCCCTACCTTTTCCCCTATTGTATATTGAGTCACTTTGAAATAACAAAGTTAGCATTTTGAATTAATTATTTCTCTGTCTCTGATTCAAAGAACTCTGCTGGATTGTTCCCCAGCCTTCCAGTGCCTTTGATCAGGATCACAATGTATGTACTTTAAACAGTATTGATTTCCTTTGTGTATGGAATGATTTTCAAAATTTTCAAATAGAAAAATTAAACATGGTGGAGACACTATACCAGGAATACAGTAATTTACCTGGATCCACTGATGTCTTCTGAACTCTAGGGTGGAGAGTAAACTGGAGATTGGGCTCACTACCCATGGACTGGGGAAGAAAGGCAGGGATTAGGAGTGTATGTATGTGACCAGATGCCAGACCTCTAGTGGACACAAAGGATAAATACTCATGGAAACATGTTAACACCACATGAGGGATTCGCATATATTGTCAGGGGAAAAGCTTCTGAGAAGTCTTTTCCAAAAGCTTATCTGTTATGTGAGCAAAACTCACATCTCATCACTCAGTGTAGTTTTGATTAAGTGTATGAGTCTCAGAAAAACAGTTAAGTTTCCCTGATTTTTCAACTAATTTCAAAATCATAATTGCTGTTCTAACTGAACAGCTACACTGGGACATCTGGTGGTGAGACACTGGAAACTGTGCAGTTTTGGGCACCTCAATATAAGAAGCACATCAAACTATCACAGTGTGTCTGGAGGAGGGTGACCAAGATGGCGAAAAGTTTTGAAGGCAAGACTTACAAGTGGCTAAGGTCACTTGGTTTGTTCACCTCGAAGAAGAAAAGGCTGAGGGGTGACCTCAACACAGCTTACATTTTCATCAAGGGGGGAAACAGAACAGGAGGTGTGAATTTCCTCTCTCTGGTGACCAGTGATAGGACATGAGGAAACAGAATAAAGCTTCATCAGGGGAAGTTCAGAGTAGACATTAGGAAAAGGTTCTTCACTGAGAGAGGGTCATTGGTCGCTTGAACAGGCTCCCCAGTGAAGTGGTCACAGCACCATGCCTGTCAAGAGTTCAAGGAGCATCTGGACGATGCTCTTGGTCATGTGGTTTAGTTTTAGGTAGTCCTGCAAGGAGCAGGGAGTTGGACTCAGTGATCCTTATGGGTCCCTTCCACCTCAAGCTATTCTATGATTCTGTGATCCCAAAGGATCACACTGTGGCTGAAGAAGGCTGGAATGCCGTAGGCTCTGGCTTCTCTTCCCATACAGCTGATGTCTGCTTTCAGCCACTGCAGGGAGGATATGTAGGAGCTAGGAATTCTGCATTTGCAATTAGGCTTCCTTATACCAGAGAAAGTTCTACGTAGGACACTCTGGCCTAGTTGTTTCAGGACTACAACAGGAAAGCAGAGGCAGGTGTAAAGAAATCACGCAGGAATTAAACTACCATCATCAAAGTCCTTCAATTTACTACCAACTTCTTAAAAATTGGACAAAGGCAAAATCTGACACAGTAGTATTAAGGGGGATCTTGAAAACGGAGCACATTGGTATTATTAACAGTAAAGACATCTATCTTCTATGGTGATACACCTCAATATCTAAACAAATTTCTTCCTGTGAATATGTATCAATGATGTGATCAAGTAGCATCATGCCACCCACTGCACTTAGTGTAAACTTTTAGGTGGTCAAAACTGGTTTTATTTACACATTTTTTCATGCACGACAATTGACGTTTTCTTCTAAAATTATATAAAATATATTTAACAAAAGGATGACATCACATATTTCTATGAATAAAAATGGAAGAAGAGGAAGCATATTCAAAAACTTAACTAAAAACAGCAAATAGTTGAACTGAGGTAAAGTTACAAAACAACCAACCCTTGTCACTGATTACAGTGCTAAAAAGCAGTTCAAATCTCCAAGCCAAGAACTGGCAGTACAGAAGAGCCAGCCATTATTCCTTGATATTTTGAAGTAGCCTTAATAAATGAGACTCAATAACCTGTTGAACTAAAGCAGAGAAAAAAATCAGGTTAATCAGTGTTCAATGTTTTTTCATGTCCTTAGGGTTGTACTATTTTTTTCTGGCAGATGCTGGCTTGTCCTGGACAATCACTTAATAAAAAACAGACAGGAATAAATGCACTCTAGGAAGAGAGTTTGCATTCCTTCAAAAAATAGAAGCCTAATATAACGCAAAAACAATATACTCAGTAAGGCAGATGATGTTTTTTGGCGATGATCTGATCTCCGTTTTGAATAGGTAGATAGCCTATGGAAAGCAAAATTTTAAGCCTATAAATGGAAACATGCTTATTAGAAACTACTTTTGTGGATTTTTTTGAGATTCTCTTTAAGTAGTCCTACATCTAGACATAAGTGAAGCTACTGGCCCTCCCATAAGAGCAGAGCTCTGCTTGGAGAAGCTACATGTGCAGTGCTGGGTTCATTTCTGCAACAACAGACTTCTCACAGCTTTCAAAGTGAAGGCAGCATGAGGTAAAAACAATGAAGAGTCCCTTCTTTGCCTGTTTTCCAGAACCAAGTAAGGTAGCCTGATTCACTGATCCTGGCACCATTACTGTCTGCCTCCAAGATAAACTAGAGGTAGAGCTGGTATGACAGGGGAACAAGGTTTTGAAAACTGCATCACATCATGCCAATCAAGAGAGTTCCATAGGCCTGCAGGCCTCTTATCACTGTCCAGTGTGCAACACACCATCCTTTGTACAGGGTGGGGGACCAGCTCAGCTCCCTTTGTCTGGATCATGGCTCAGTCACCCCTACACACCGTTATTTGTGTCCACAGATGCAGATCCAGGTCAGTGACATTTTCTTATTTGGTACCTGGCTTTCTGAGATAGAGATGGAAACTGCTACCCATTTTGGGCCAATACATTTAGGTGTATTAAGACTTCAAGGACAGGGATCTTCTTACAGCTGCAAAACCTCTATTAGGCTGTTACAGCAGTTACATAAACAAGGAGCAGTAAAAATAAAGAATTTACATTTGCAATACTCACCACTGCGATACCCCAAGGCTACAGCCAAATCCATGGAATTATAACCAGCATCTGTTTCGATAGTTGGATCGGCACCACTTTCTATGTAAAAGAGGAAAAGGAATTTCCATTTCTGGCCATGAGAGCTGATAGTACATTATTACTGATAATGCAGTTTGGACAGTCTGCTTACCAAGGAGAATTTTCACACATTTCACATGGTTCCCATGTACTGCATATAGTAGAGGTGTGCCTCCATTCTGCAAAAGCAGGGAAAAGCCTTAGACACTTAATGATTGAGCAGTATGCAACTGTAATTCCTTAACACACCAGTATACTTCAACATAGCAGGAGACTTCACAGTTTTTATAAAAATGAGGTTCTGTTTTGGTTTGTCACAACTTCCATCTTCTACAGTTTAGACTGTAAGCTCACCCTTCTCTACAAGGACTCAGTGTTAGTCTCATTCTCTTTTTACTGAGAAGTCAGAACTAGTAGGGCCAACTTATCCCTTATCCTATGGAAGTTCTGAAACTCTCGTATTCCAGAAGAGGTAGAACAATTTTCAAACCCAAGCCAGTGCTATGCCCTCTTCAAATTTCTGACCAAAGCACCCTCTGACACAAATTCAAGCTAAGAGTCTTACCCAGTCATACTCATTGACATCAACTCCACAGTCGAGCAGCATTTTGACAATATCTGTGTATCCTTTACTGCAAGCCAGTGAGAGGGCACTTTCTCGCCCTTTACCCAAAATCTGAGGATCTGCACCCTGACAGAATAATTAAAAAAATCAAATTAACCATGTCTTTTTTAAATGTGAGGTTTCACACAGAACTTAACTTTAAAACTTTTAATTGTAAAGTAGCATTGGCAAACTTAGGAAGGCAAATTGAACTAAAAAGTAAGTAAAGAAATTTAAAATTATGTTTTTTCCTTACATTCTGGAGGAGAAATTCCACTACTGCAATCTGCCCATGAGCTGCAGCCCACATCAGAGGAGTAAATCCTTCTTCATCCTTATGATTGATCACATTTTCTGTTTAAATAAAAATACGCAACTTAGCAATTCATTTCACTAATGAACTGTATGAGCTGGTGAAATACGTTGACGTATCCATGATGAATGGACTGAGGTACCAGTGTGTCCTAAAAGTAATTCTCATCTTAACTTTAAAAACAAAATTCTGTCCCAATGGTGGTGCAAATATCTTTGTCCAAGAGAGAAACAAACATCCAGCTGACCACAGTAAAATTTAAGAGTTGGGTTTATTTTTTTGTTTTTTAAGCTCTATAAATCAAGTTCTGTTTTTACTCAGAAATGTTACAAATTGTCTGTAATCTGGGCTTTATCTTTGTAAAGAAGAGAAGGGCTGCTTGAAAAATAAAGAGCAACATTCAGTATTATGCAGAGAGTGCTTTTTTTCAATAGAGTGAGCCACATAATCTTTTAAAGAATTAGCTTGTAAAGCAATATAGATAGTATAACTCCAATCCCCCCAAAGTTCATGTAAACAATAGGGTGTTTTGTGGAAATGATTAAGGTCTACTTCTAGCGCAGCTGGAAGAATGAAAAAACTTTTTTAACAATTGGGTGACTGAGATACCCGAGTTGGATTTTTGTTTAATATCTACGTACTTAAAAAATCCCATGCTTACAGCATAAGCACCATAATATGTATTTTTAACTCTTACTGACACTCCAGAATAGATTTGCTTTCCATATACATGGGTCATTACAACGTATATAAATTCGATGACTCGTTACCTGCTTTCCAGTACACATTTCAACAAAGTTGCACTGAAAGCATGGCTGGTTACTAATAACACAATAAGAATATACTTTTAACAGTACTCAATTCAATACATTATATAGAGTTGAAATTTTGTATATGTATTACGGACACACAAATGTCACACTGAAGACTATCACTCAACTCACAATGAGGAGCACTATGATATTGCAGGTGCGAGCCATGGCTTAAATTACCAACATATAGCTCTATATGTTGATTGATTAAATAGAATTGGAAAGCCACCATTAACAGAAATGTGTTTTAAATTACAAAGATAATTTTTTAAAAAAAGTTAATTATCCTGATAGAACTAACAGATTCTCCCTTCTCATTCCTGTAGACTACCTATGCAGCTGAGGAGGCAGTGTGAGGAAGGATTTATCTACAACTCCTATTAACGCTAATGTTTAGTTTAAAATTCAAACCATAGCAATGAGTAAATATAAGACTGATGTGGAACAATAGTCTACATCCACAAATACAGATACCTCAAATGTCCTTCAATTTGTACCTGAATTGAGGACTAATTTTAATTCAGCTTTGGGGAAAATGTCAAACACAACAGGGTATAAATGTCCTGAAGGAAAAAGGAAGGCATTTAACCTCCCTCTGTCTCACCTTGTTCAATACGTGTGGCCAGATACAACATTTCTCCCTGAGCAGCCAGCTGATGAACTGATAAGGCTGCAAAAAGGGAAAAAAAAGCATGTGTTACACACACCAGATTTCATTCTGCTCTATTTGTAGCTGGGCCTAACGTGTCCATTGTCTTGAGCAATACAGAACTTGGATTTGAGAGTGTACTGAACTGGAATCACTATCTTAAAAACTGCAAAGTTTCCAAAGAGTTTCACAGGTTTAGGTAATTTTTTTAACCAATGTATAAATCATACTAGAAAGTAAAGATACTTCCTACACTGACTCTTTAGAAGGCAACATGTTCTCTTCTCTACTCTGCTGCTTCATCAGCAATCCAAGATCAGATTATGAACATTTATCAAATGAAAAAAAAAAAAAGCATCATGTGATAAATTAAGGCTGTGTAGTTTAAAAAGAGATCATCTCCTATCAAGAAACCTGTCACGCTGCTCAGTAAACCCCATAGCATGACTCTCACTCCACTGTGGAACAGATCAGACATTACAAAACTATACACAACATGACATCTACAGGGGAAGAAAAAGATTGTGGTTGGGGTTTTTTTTAATTTTTAATAAAAAGTACTAAGCATTAAAACCAGAATAATTCTTAAACAGATTATGAAGAAAAAAATCACTGATCCCACAGTAAACTGTGGACAGCTGCATGGTTTTGATAATTACAACTTGGAGAAGGTCTGAAAGGTGCTCAGGAGGGAATATATAATACATTATCCACATTATATAATAACAAAATCAGCTAATGATTACATAATATGTAAGTGTTCAGTGTCCTGTTCCTATTCACTACATGAAAGTTTGATTTTTTTTCCAGAAAGACTGCGTAGTTGGTTCAGAGGCCTATGCTGCAGTGTTGCAGCTCCAGATTAATTTTTCCCATTTAAGCAACCTTTTTTTAAATATTGGATTTATAATTTACAGAGTAAATAATTTCTAGGTGAAGTAAATGACAGTTAATAAATTTATAAAGAACATACTTGACAAGAATAAAAAAACCCCCATAAATACTACTGCTGTCTTGACTTTCAAGATCCGTGACAATCATGGCATCTGCAGTAGTCTGTAGCACTTACCATCATCCAATTTTAATAAATTTTACAAGATGCACAAGTTCTGAAAACCAGTATTTGAAGCACATTAACATAAAGCTCACAAAGGATCAGACAAATCTTTATCTTATCTATATTTTTTAAATAATGAATTGGATCCTTTCTGGAAAATATGCTTCAGTCATGAATTCAATACAGCAGGTGGATTACTATCTTATGGTTGGAATCATGTAAAATTAGACAGGACTATCTCCTTGTTTCCTCCCTATATTAAAGGTCATTACAACACCAAAAAAAAAAAAATTGGAAAAATCTGTCAAGCTTCTAACAGTCAGTTCACAAAATAATTATTAACAGTAAGGCAGAAGGATACTTACAATTTACAAGCAGAGGTGTTGTAGAGACTTCGTTTCCCCTGTGTTTGTTAGTTAGGGTAGTTGATTGTTTTATTGGTGAGAAATGCTTAGTAGTTGATGGAGTATAAACGTGTCTTACTTGGATACCAGGGGAAGGAGAAGTGTGTATGTTGCATTCAGCTACATTGAACAGAGAAAACAGACACGATTTTAGTACTAGTTAAGAGCATTAAAAGCAAGCCACAGATTACAAGACAAACTAGAAAGCACCAGTATCATAAGATCTTTAAAACCCTGATCAAGTAAGCTTTGTGACGTGGTTTTACCACTCTGTTTTGTGAGAACTGAATAGAGGGCTGTATTTATTTCTGGCATAAAACAATGCTACTACCCTCTATGTTCAGTGTGGCGTAAAGTCACCCAGAGACAAGTTGGTGTCTAAATGAGGTAAGCCTTTGTCTAGATTTTCAACACACCTGGCATGGATTTATCAGGTAGGATGGTTCCACTTAGCCTGTCACACCCTCACTAACACTCTCCAGTGCAATAACATGATGCAGCTCTGGTCAGTCAGGTAGTAAGGTAACTGCTCAGCTCATCACTTTGTCCACTCTCTAACCAGTCCACTGCATGGGTAGAGATGACCTTCGCTAATTTTCTTCACCAGGACTTTTTCCACTCCTGTTGGATAAAATTGCAAATGCATTATGAATGCCTTATGAATACTTATCCAGCAGGAAGAGAGATATTCCACGCTAACTTACATAAAATGCAACAGCAGGTCACCACTTAGAATTCAATAAGTAATTCAGCACTGCTGTGTTCATTTGTAGTAACTTTTCTAGTTATTAAAATCTAACAGCATTTTATTACAAAATATGTACGTTATCTTGGCTTCTAATTCTCAAAAGTACGTTTAGAGAAGCCAAATTTTTTTAAGAAGCTAACTGATTTAATACTGGAAAAATATTGAAGGATTAAACTCCACTGTTGGCTAAACTGATTTGACACCAGTGTGCACTAATAATTAATGACTAGAAGCTAATTAACATGCACACTGAATGCACACCATAGAGAATTTAATGATCACAATTAAAAGTAGAGGGTAACAGGATGAAAATGAAATTACACTTTGTTTGCCAATCAAATAGCTACAGCTGACAAGATCAAATTAAGACACCTACCAGGAAATTTTGACCTGCGGTCCCTGGATCTGCAGGACTACTTCTAAGGGGTTCACAAATGTTACCTAAGAAAAACCACCCTATCGCTGATGGGTCTAAATTTGCTGTTCAGGTCTGCAGCTCCACTAGTAAGCACTTAGGGCCTGCAAATCAAAATGTTTGAAAATTATAATGGCTGAACTGCAGCCAAACAATACAAATCAGTGAAATCATCAAAATCCACAATAGGTCTGTGTTTGTTATTGGAAATGGGAAAAATTCAACCTCACAAAAAGATACATGACTAAGAGTCTCAAATATTACAGGGAGCACTGGGAAGCACAATTGTTATGGGGCAACAGATGGAAATCCTCATTCTGTTCTCTGTCAATACCTTCAGCCATGAAAAAGCACAGATCAGTTCTGATGAAGCTGCCCAGAAATGGCTGGAGATTAGCTGCAGGGATACAGAATTGCAGCAACATTCACTTTCAGGTGGTGCAAAGCTGAACTGGCAAGCCAATCCCTACAACTACAGGCTCTGTCCAGCCATATGGATAAAACAAAGACAACCGCATGACCTCTGTTACTTTGTCATCGTACTAGTGAAAAGCTGAAACGTGCTGCAGAAAGCTGCTAAAGTTGAAATGATCACACAGTGCTTTCAGTAGTAAAGACATAGATTCAACAACGTGTAGCATGTTGTAGGACATGCTACACAAATGATGTAAGCTTGTTTTCATAACCAACATCAGCTCTTACTAGATTAGAGACTTGTTGCACCACTACTTTTTCAATTAAATAATTTAAAATGTGATTTAAAAAATAACCTTGGGGGAAATTAATTTTACATTAATAATCAATTAAGCATATAATAAAAATATTAGGGGAACAAATCTTAGAAAACTATTACTGATTAACACACACAGAAGGCAGAGGCTCTTTTTTAAAAAACACAGCAGCTTAACAGGATGACACAGTCCACATATAACAATTTGTACCATAAAGTTCAACCTTTAAACAAGACGGATGCCACTTCCAGGTCAGAGTTAACTTGATCTTGAATATTTTTACTGTCTTCCTCATTCAAAGATTTCACAAATCGTGAGCAGACATTCATATCAAATCTATTGGGCAAAATGAACTTCATTCCCATGGCGACACTCTGAGCCGGGCCTTCCTCTGCGCTAGAGTCAAGCTGGTGCTCCACCTTAATGTCTGGCATGGGTGGAAGGCTGTAGCTGGTGGTACATTCTTCCACAATTAACTGAGCCCCAACATCTAAGTTTGTTGAAGATGCCATGGTGTCAGTCATGTAAAAGTTTTATGCAATATGTTTCTTCATAGCTTCTAGCCAAAAGCAGCTCTGGCCAATCAGGCTGTATCTAGAAATCCCGATGCTGGAACAACCTGCAACTGAACATATGTGACATAGATTAACATGCTGGTAAAGAAATGCATAAAAATACACCAAACTTGCCTTAATTTAAGCTTATGGCATTTGGTTTTGATCGTCAAAACCTTGGTGAAATATCAATCTTACTGCTGTCACAAGCTACTGACCAAATCCTCCATTTAAATTTTATCACATGGATATTTAAGCCAAATTCCATGACGAAGCCAGTAGGATTTTCATCTAAGTGATGTTTCAGAATATTAGTCTAGTTCCAAAAAAAAAAAAAAACCAAAAACCCACCACTACTGATCACGTTTATACCAAGAGAGGAACAAGCTACAAGAAGATACCTTTGTAACCTAAAAACGTTAGACTTGAAGGAAAAGTCAAAGTGACTTTATGTCCTTTTATAACTTTAAGTCCCTTCACAACCTGAGCGAAATAAATAGCTTCTACCATACGTGTAGGAAAACCGTAATTCCCTTTTCGATCCATGACAGGAAAATATCCCCGAACACCCGGCGCTTTTTGGCAGCACCGCGGGAAGCCCAGCGTCCGGCCGGGCTCCGCAGCGG